AAAAGTAAAAAGTACGCTGAAAAATAATTACTCAAGTAAAGTACAAATGACCAAAATTTCTACTTAAGTACAGTAACAAAGTATTTGTACTTAGTTACTTTACAACTCTGTTTGAAAGACAACACGATGGATCAGTGGTTACCACTATAGCCTTACAGCAAAGACGTCCTGGGTTCGGTCCCTGGTTTGGACCTGTTAAGTGTGAACTCAGAWGTCGAAGATAAGTGGTTCAGATGACAAAAACTCAGATAATGATTTAACAATGTTTATTTGCAGTTCCCAGAACCCAGGAAGTAACTTGGATCGCCAGTGAGGATTCCTTTGGTAATAGACATGTGAGACGTTGCAGGCTGTTCAGTGAGCACCTGGTGGATATTTACAGGTGAAGGGTGAAGGTATTTACAGTGGACGTCTTCTTCGAGGATTTACCAGGATGGAGATCAGAGGAGTTAAACAGAAGATGTGGATTCCAGATCAGATCCAGAATTGAGCAGCGGTGACCCAGAGGTGTTAATCACAAGCCTCCACAGGGATGGAACCACACGGAGCCAGGAGGTCGGTGGTGGAACTGGTTCGTAATAACTGCAAAGATTCAGGGAAATAGAACTCTTTAAGGGTTTACTTGGGAGTACATAAGCCAGAGAGCGAGCCCTACCGGTAAACTCTTTGTTCCGGCATCTGCCTGTTGTGCAGCTCCTCCTCAAATACTGAAACCTCCCGGCAAGTAAATTGACTGCACCTGTGGACTGTGATTAGTACAGAGCAGAGACAGGAGTGATAGAGGTCTAAACCTCTACAGGACCTGTGTGTTCTCCTCGCGTGTGGGTTTTCTCCATTTTCCTCCCACCGACCAAAAACATGACTGTTAGGGTAACTGATAACTCCAAATTTTCCCTAGATGTGAGTGAGACAGTGAATTGTTGTCTCTGTGTGTCCCTGTGATGGACTGGAGACCTGTTTGTGGTGTCCCCCGCCCCTCACACAGTGACTGCTGGATACTGGCACCAGTGACCCTGAAAGGAAGAAGCAGGTATAGATAATCATGTTGAATGTGTGAAAGATTAATATTATTATTATTATTATTACAGGCAATTTCTAACCTATGCATTAAGCAGTAACCTCTCGCTCTGTGACGTCCATCACATCAGTAGTCGCTGTAGATTTCCCTTGTTTTGAGCTGGACTGGTGATGAGTTTCATTGTGATGTCTCAGGATGTTTCAGAGGTTCGTCCTCCCTCACCACAGCCAGAGGTCTGTTCTTTTTGCCAAGCATCACTCTGTTGTTGTTCTGGGCAGCTCTGTAAACAGATGATATCTGGGCTGAAGTGTCTGCAAACCAACATTTCGCTCGGGTGAAGCAGGACAGTCCTGGATCTGGTTCTTCTGTGGGACGACCAGGTGTGTTTGTCTTGTGGAGGGAACAGGTTTGAGAGGTTGAAAAGTAAACTTTTCTAACAAGTTTCTTTTCTTTCAAAAACAAGCGACRTCTAGCAATTTTTTCAAMTTTTACTTGGAATTTTTARATTGTTATTAAAGTAGACTTATGATGCTTTTAAATTCCTTTTTTTTTCACATTTAAATCCTTCTGCGGTGTGTCTCACATCAACTCGTTTCGAGGCTGTCTCTTTAAATCCAAACGAGGAGCTTCACACCCTGAAGACCACCAAATTGTGGTTGGGATGTTCAGACCTTATTTAGAATTTCCACCGCAAATAATTTGATGYAATAGTTAAAAAATACTTCATAGAAAGTTGAAAAATATGTCCCAAACAGAATATAAAGATATCTACAGAGCACCAGGAGAGACTAAACTCAACTTTTTGGCAGTTTCCAAGTACCCAACGAAATGTATTTAACTGCTAAAAAAAGTGGATTTTGCAGATATATCTCCTTTAAACTTCACTGACTTATTGCAACACAACGGAATGAATGAATGCTGAAGAGTTATGACATCTTTAATGAATGACTGGATTACAGTATAATCTGTTTTAAAATGCGTGAATGGATTTTAATCATCTATAAAATACCACAGAGAATGTTATAAATAACCTGTGTACCACCTACAGTATAATTGCTACAAACTGACATAAATAAAAATGATAATTTCACTTTTCTTTACAAACAAAAAAAATCAAAGTTTATTTTGATGTGACTTAAATGAGCAACCAAATTCTTAAAATAATTTCTCTAAACTCATTTGTTTTGATTCTATTTAGTTTTCACTAAGCTGACAACAGATCAGGACAGATGTGTAAAAAGCAACAATTTAATCATTATTATTCTGAAAGCTGTGTGGTTGTTTCCGTACCTTCTGTMATTTTTATCACTTAAACTCTGTGARTGGAGGTACAGAGTCAGCTGAAMACCYTATCATTTTAAAAAAATATCCAGTRTAAYTGTTTGCTGCTCTGGAGYGTACAGATGTGTAATCAYCTGATGACTTTCAGTCTGAGAAATGTGTAAATTTATTTATAATTTGAGAGCAAACATGCTCTGACGGATATTTGAAACGATCTGAAATGTTACTGCTGCAGCCAGGTCTCTTCTGCTCTCTGGTTTCAGGACTTTGTCAGAGTCTAAGTGTTAATGTTTTGCCCCACATCTGTCCTGGTTTTTTGTTTTTCAGTTAGGTAATGTGTTTTTGTTTAATATTTTATCACAGAYGTTATTTTTGCTGGTGGTCTCAGTTTGTCTGGTCCTCTGCTCCCCCCTCACACCACAGGGGTTTATTAGTTTTTTATTAGATCAACATCGCTGCCCATCCCTCGTCATCCTGTAAGTCTAGTTACAGTGTGTCTTYAGTAGTTCAGGCTGTGTCACATTATAAACTCTCTCCGTCTGTCAGAGCTTGAACTCAGGTGTGAGGAACATAAACTGAACATTCCTGGAAAACACAAAGGAATGCAGCAGAAAACTGATAGTTATGTAGATAAGTCAACTATTAACTACATGTCTGTTGTTTGGGTCATAATCATCATGTAGTAAACTGGAACAGAAGCAAGAAGAAACCAAACAGAATCAACCTTAAAAATGATAAATGAAAAAAAAAGCTGTGCTTTTTTAAATTTTATCTAATGTCATAACTCTCCTCCTTAAAGTGACCCAAAAGAAACTCATTTACTTTATTGTTCTCTCCTATGGCCCCCTTTGGGGGAGTGGGTGGGCGGCCCTCCCGGCGCGGGTGCCTCTGGGGGCTCCGCGCTTGGGGTCCCACTCGGGGTCTTTAGCGCTGGTCTCCCTTATGTCGGCGTCGAGCTTTGCAGGTTGGGTCTGTGATCCCCCACAGTCATTTTGAAACATTCCATTGTAGAA